AGCATCAGATAGGTATTCTCCACCTCTATCTGTTCTGAGAACCTTAATGACCTTTCCTGTTTCAGTTTCAACCTTCTTTTTGAACTGTTTAAAACTTTGAGAGCTTGAGACTTCTCTGTCAATAAATACACCAACCCTTACGACTATAGTCATCAATGAAGCTTAAAAAATACATGTTGCCAGCATGAGATGCCGGGGTTATTGGCCCACAGATATCAGAGTATATTAGCTCCAAAATCTCTCCTGCTCTCCAATTGCTTGTCTTTGGAATCGCCTTTTTGGTTTGTTTTCCTATCATACAATCTCCACATACAGTTTTGTTGATAAGAAAATGAGGTAGATCACGAACCATACCCTTTCCTTGCAGAATTTCCATGCTTGTGTTGCTGAGATGTCCCATCCGTTCATGCCATAGTTTAGCTTTATCTTCATCACTGGTATACATACACCCATCTGTTTTCTGCTCAGGGACAACATTGACCTCTTCACTAATTGGGAACATTCGATTTGTGCTCATATTACTCTGAAAAAGCAGGCCTTTGTCTTGATGAAACACCTTACAGACATCCAACTGAAAGAGAAAAAACAATCCCTTTTGTTGAAGTTGCCCTATGCTTAGAAGATTGTTCTTGAGGTCTGGTACATAGTACACATCACTGATCACATATGTTGCTCCATTTAGGAATAACTTCACACTTCCTTTTCCAGCCACCATCATATGTGTGTTATTTCCCAATTTAACATAATTCGAAAAACCTGAGTCAAGATCAACGAACCTGTCTTTGTTTCCGCATATGTGGTTAGAACAACCCGAATACAAAAACCACAACATACCTTTGTTTTTATCACTCGTATCTACCATGAGTGCAGTCTCCTCCATGTTTATCTCAGCCATGAGCATAACTTACTCATTCTCATCAAAACCAGTGTAGTTTGCATCGTTAGAATGAGGACATTCATAAGAATAATGTCCCAATTTGTGGCAATTATAGCATTCTATCGTTTCTTTATTGAACGATAGTCGTCCTCTACCTCGTCCTCTTCTTCTACTGTTGAATCGGCCTCTCCCTCGTCCACGACCATTCGGACTGAGACCGGTTTCTGCCTTCAGCGCTTGATCATCTTCCTTTTCAACTTTCTTGAATTTCTGTTCGTGAACCAGCAAGGTACTTTGCAGCTCCTCAATGGACATCTCGTCAACATTCTTTGACGACTCAATCGAAACCACCACATACATGTATTTGTCGGCCAGAGTTCTGAGGATCTTTTCGACAATTTTGACATCAAATATCAATTCCCCGTTGCTCCTTATTTGATTTGAAATTGTCAAAACCCTACCAAAGTACTTAGAGATGGTTTCGTTGGCCTTCATCTCGAGGACTTCGAAGTCCCTTCGGAGCTTCTATCTTTGCTTCAAGGAGTCCCACACCGCCTTGGAAGTCTTTCTATCCATGATCTGCTTGAAGGTGACTCGATCGATTGCTTGATACAAGTAGTGCTTGACTTGTAAATCTTTTATGCGCAATTCCTCCAATTTCTTCTTCTCAGTATCGCTTTGAGCAATTCCAACTGCCGGCTTTCTAATTCCTGGATCGATTAGGTTCCACACCTGTTTTGCACGCAGCAAATTCTCCATCATCTCACTCCAGTGCTCATAGTGGCCGTCGAAGACTGGTACCTTCATCTTATCGTCATTCATCATTGCTACTCTCTCTTTAGTGATCGAAATTTGCTCTGATACCAATTGATAAACTAAACAATGGTATATTGCTCACACAAATTTTTGATACTTTATTCAAGAGGCCAAAGTGGCTTTAAATACACTGGGAAAAATAACAAATTGACAGAGAAAATAGGAACGAAAAAGCAAAACGAAAAATTGCTAAATACTAGGTAAATAGCTAAAGACTAGGTAAACACACGTGTCAAGCCCGCTTACATAGTCAGCCTTATTTTCAAAATTCAAAAACTCCAACAATAAGCTATTGAGTTACGTTTCCTCTAGCATTTGAACTCCGTTGTTACCATAAAGCTAAGTTTTATTAATAAAGTTAAATTTTTAGTAGTATCAATAAGAAGGTAACGACACCCGAAGTAGGAATTTGGGCGTTACACTTGCTTTTTGCTTTTTTTGATGATTTAAGTTCTAAGGTTCTAGTTGTTTAGTTAAACATTTTATCTTGTTGTGTATCGTTCAAGGAGAAATAGAGACTTCATTATGTATCCCATTTACTCGATGTGCGGCAAATCGGGATGGGCTCACAAACTAAAGAATGTAAAATAGAGGTAAATGGTGCAAACGAAATATATTTGGGACTATAGATCACGCTATCTTAAGTGACTGGTGATATTGAAGAATATCATTCAGGAACCGATAGATGTGGACAAACATATATCAAGTAAAGTGCAAGTTTTTTCTTATGCTTCAGAATACTAGTTATGATTTTAATTTCATATATTCCCTTCCAGATATTATTGAGGAATTAATGTATGGGAACAAACTTAGATGTATTGATTGCTTCACTATGAAAAAGGGTGTTTGTTATTTATAAATTTAATTACTCACTCTTGTCATCACCATTAAGTCCTTGTATGGTTACTACAAATATTTAGTTAGTAGTTGCTAGACATTTTGGTTGTGCTCTTACACTTTGTGCTTAAGACAAACCTTGGAAGGTAGAATCAGGGTTGTCTCAGGCTTGCTGCATCCTTGTATGGATGCTTCAGGGGTGCAGTTCTTCCAGGGTTCGTTGGTTGAATACCTTATGAGGCGTTGACCTTAAACCCAAATTGATAACCCCACAAATTCATGAAAATATGAGATTTGGGCGGAGGGCCAACTTTGGCTTTCCTTTTTGCTAAAAGAAGAAGAAATGAAGTACAATAAAAACATGCTTGAGTTTTATGGCTGCAAAAAAGAAACATTTAGAGGACAGACGTTTATTTCTGTTGTTAATAATTTGGACATACCAAGCAAGCTTTAAAGTGTGGAAACACGAGGCCAGGCGTAAGCCTTGAGGGGGTAAAAAAATAAGATTCAAAACAAAATTAGATATATACACAAAATGACAAAATACGTAAATACTATATATATGTATATAGGGAGGGTTCATGTGAGAACCACAAATAATTTGAGAACCAGGTAACTAATTTTACATTGTGTATTCATTAAAACAAACTAGAAGGGTACTTGCGCAATGCAGCGAGATAAATCTCCATTTTAATGTTTAGTTTTTATTCTTCTCTATCGATATAATACGATTTTATGTGGTTTTGAGAAAACGATAATGTTTTTATGTTTGAATGAAATATAAATTTGAAGATAGCATAAAAATTTGAAAAAGTAAATCGATATTAGTTTCAAATTAACTATTTAATAATTCTCGTTTTTTTGGTGTAACTTCTTTAATTCAATTTTTTTATTATACGTTAATTTAGATTTAATAACATAATAATTTATTTTTGGTTTAATAATATATTTTTTTATAAGAATAATAATTAAATATTCTATTAGAACTCAATGATTATCTTAATTATAATTTATATTTTCTATATTTAAGATAAATGTTTATCCTGTATTTGATTATGTTTATCTGTAGTTAGTTACACGAATTTAAAAATGGAGCTTTAATAAGTTGTACTTATGCACAATTACTTGTTATCTTGAATTATGAGTAATATGCATCAATAAACAATATTTCATGCATAAAAAATGGTTTTTAAGAGTTTTTGTCAAATACTTTATAATATAGTATATATACACTATGTAAATTTCATTAAAATATGTATATTGTCAATATGTAATTTTCATTAAAATATGTATATTGTTAATAAATATACTATATATTCATTGATGACTACATTCACTTGTAACTGTATTCTGTCAATTAATATATTCAACAATAAATATATACTAAAAATTAGTTCCATGGTTTTCAAAATATTTGAGGTTCTTATTTGAAATGGGCCTTCTTCCACTATATATATGTTCTGTGTATATATATGTATATATATATACATGTGTATACATAGGGGTGAGCTCAAATGAGAACGACAAGTATTTTGAGAACCGGGGGACAACTATTTCATGTATTATTCATGATGAATAACCGTGAAATAAAAATTATTCATGATCGATAACCCTGAATAATGAAAATTATTCATGATAAACGTCGTAATAGATATTCATGACGAATGTCGTAATATATATCAATGATGGAAATTATTTATGATAAAAATACATGATATTCATGATAAAAATGATAACATAATGAAAATGCATGATATTAATGTTGAATAATGTTAACGACTATTCAGGGTTATTCACCATGAAAAATACATTAAAAGTTGGTTCCCATCTCTCTCAAATATTTGTGGTTCTGTCATTTGGTTGTGACTCTTATCCCTAAACAGAATACCACCTCACCCCTGCAAAGCATACGACCCAGAGAAGCAGTAAGAGGCGATGCCTCAAGAATGTTTTGGGGCCGCCTGTCTCAATCGATTTTTAAAACCATGATACCATATAAAAGCAACATCCTCATAAGACTTGGGTTTTAGTGCATATATATATATATATATATATATATATTACATATTTAGTGTATGAATTATGAAGTAGCTTCTTTTTTATTCTTGTGGTTTAGATTTGTATAGATACACATATACACACTCATATAAACCCAGTGTCCTCAATTTTTTAGAATATTATAATCCTGATATCCACGTATTTTGCACCAGATTGTTGCAACATAGAGACGAGCACTTGGGTGATCCATGCACAAACTTTCTGCCGTGACTGCATGTCTGCATAAGTGATTTTGTGTCGTTTTTTATTGCCAAATTTTGTATCTTTGCTATTGGAATGTTTCTTCTTGTTGCATATAATGTCTCTTGGTGATGACTAATATTTGGATCAGTTTCTTTTTAACTTTTATGTTATAGTTTCTTCTCGCCCCATTATATATCACATATTTCTAGGTATTTCCTTTCACTCACAGAACACCACAATGGCTTAAAAAGATGTTTCAAGCAGTTATGAAGAGCGAGAGGAATGGCCCTGTGTTTCAGTTTTTCATTGATCTAGGAGATGCAGGTACAACTGTACAAGTTTGTTATAGAACTTTGCTTGAAGATGGTGTATTTTGTCTACTTAGTTCCTTCAGTTATTTTTGTTTATTGCACAGCCTCAAAGAACCTGTTATGTGATGGAGAATAATTGCATTCTGATTTCCTTCTCTTTCAGTTTCTTATGTAAAACGGCTGAGTATTCCTAGTGGGGTGGTTGGTGCCTGTCGCCTTGATTTAGCATATGAACATTTCAAGGTATTGGCTTGCTTGATATTTGTTTCTTTATAAGTTTCTATGTATGGAAAGGTAAATAACGCTGTCTTTGCGCACTTGTCGTTTTTTATGGGCTTTTGGGGTACTTACTTGTCAATACTAGAAGGCTGATTACCCTTTTTATTTTTATTTGGGGCAAAAAATTGTTTTTATGCTTATGAAGTTGAAATCTTGTTTCTTTTTTCTAATATTCATGGAACGTGCAGATGGTTGTTTGATTGATTGTTACCCTTTAAACTCTATTATCTTGACAACATCATTATTCATTGAAAATTTTGTTGGAATTCTTTTATTTATACCACTTACGTCATTTTTACAGGAAAAGCCTCACTTGTTCCAGTTCATTCCAAATGAGAGACAGGTTAGAAGCTAAAATCTTCCTCAAGAGTCGGGATGTTGTCAGCTAATGGGATGCTTATGCAGGTCAAGGAAGCTAACAAACTTCTCAAGAATGCACCACCAAACACTCTGAAGAGAAGAGTTGAAGGGGTTCCAGTTTTCACTGCACAGAACTTAGATATTGCGATAGCCACGGGTGATGGGATTAAGTGGTATATATGTTCTATATTCAATCTATGATATCTAGCATCTCTAATTTCTGGGTATTGAGATTTCCTATTTCTCTTTTGGAATACTACATGCCATCTTCATTCTTCCGCTTTAAAACCATATTTTTGTGCAGAAAGCTCGACTTATGACTAATTTGGTAGTATTAGAATAGAAGAATCCATCTTTCTTTAAATAGATACACTGTTGTGTTGTATCTTCCTCACTTATTAAACCAAATATTTTTAGATTTAGTTGCACTTGCATCCACACGTGCAGCCATCTATATGCACTACCTTTTAAGATATGTTAAATCATTAATCTTATACCAGAAGTTTAGGGTTTGTAAACTGGAAGTATGTCATTACAGCATTTTTAAGGTGGCACAAAGGGAGGACCTTTGTCCTCAAATATGGGTAATATGTTCTCATACAATGTTGCTCCAAAGTCCAATCTGATCTAACTGGCAAGCAATCTCGATCTGCACAAATTAGGAGAAGAAGAAGCAAATGAGTCATTGGCATAGGCATTTGTCACATTTACTTGGTCTTTTCTTTTTTGCTACAATTACACAAAATATTTACCTTTCAACTCTTGGTCATCTTTTCATGTTATTTTTGGTTTTGGATAGAGCTTGTTGCATTTGATAACATGATCGACTTAATATTTTTTATCCAACCTTTCATTTTTGTGATCATATTCATCTACTGGCATCAATCTTGTTAGGTATACTCCGTATTTCTTCAATAAAAGCATGCTAGATGACATTCTTGAGGATTCTGTCGATCAGCATTTCAATTCCCTAATTCAGACGCGGCACTTGCAAAGACGTCGAGATATTATCGATGACAATATGGGTTCAGATTTGTTGGATGACAGTGCAGACAATGTATGGGAACCCCCAGAGGTAAACCATATTATTTAAACGCATAGCACCTTTGAATTAATTAAGTTAGTACACAAGGATCGCAATTTGATCTCTTTCCCTGATCATCACCTAGAGTCTTAGTTGACTTTGGCGTTGGGTGAATATTTGGACCTTAATTCATATCATTTCGACCAATTTGATGTTTAGGCTGTGCTTGGTATACTAGACATAATGGGCAAGGACTTCACAAAAACTTGTTCCATGTTTGGTACGACATTAGACTAGGACAGGACCTGAGTGAAACAAAATACATCTTTTTCCTGTCCGACCAATATACGTGGAACGAAAATCAGGGAAATGATACAAGATTGATAAATTACTTAACCACCCATGTCAAATTAAACTCCTAAAACCTTTCCCAATTCTTTCAACTCCTGCCTTCCTCACTCTCACTCATCCAGTCCTGTCTGCGACAACACATTGATATGCATTGGGCCGAGTTGGGTTTTTTTATAACTTGGATTCAAACAGAATATGGGTTGGGTTGGCTCTTATGATAAAAGAAAACCCTAATCAGGCCAAAACCAAAAAATACATCACACATATTGTCAATTTCTAATTTTCATACATGCACACCTTATATACACTACTTTAGCCACTTCTCGACTAATTTAATGTATGCTTGTACTTGTAATTATTGTTTTCTTGTATTAATACGTTACAGGTAATTTGAAATCTTATTTGTGCATTAAGATTTCGTAAATTTCATCTTCATTAGATGCATATCTCTTGTTGACAGGTTCAGGAAGTTCTGGACGAAATTGGCACTCCTTCTATTCCATTGAGTGTCATTACGAAGGCTGCAGAGATACAGCTTTTGTATACGGTGGATAAAGTGCTTCTTGGAAACCGGTGGTTGAGGAAAGCCACTGGAATTCAACCCAAATTTCCATATGTGGTTGACTCATTCGAGAAAAGGTACCCAAATCACCTTTTGAAATTCATTACTTCTTCGTTCCTGAAAAATAGGGCCAGTTTGGCCTTTTGGCTCAACTTAACTAACTTTTGGTGAGACGAATTTTTTGAGAGAAATGCTTGTTTATTAACAATGTCTTAAAAAACCACTTTGATTACGACAAAATGGTGAAATATTGTGGACCCAAATTAATAACATCAGGATAAAAAATAGACAAATGAGTGAGATTTTGGATTAAGAACTTGCAAAAAGAGAAATGTTGCAATTTTAACGCCACGCCATAAAAAAGAGAAGTGTTGCAATATTATGGGGACAGAGGGGAATTACTTCTCGAATTCTATGTTTATATGAATCCAATGAGTTCTTGCTCAAAGATGGTAGTTACTTCTCAAGATTTTACTGCCTGATCGTATTGCAGTAATATTTGTCCCATATTGCCAAGGTTGTCAAAAAGTGGCTTATGTGTGTGTATATATAGGCGCATAATCCCAATAAATCATACTAAGTTATGAACCAATTTCCATGTGTCGTTTCACATATGAAACATGTGTGAAAATGCAATGTTTATACAATGTTGTTTCATATGTGAAATGTTCAGGAGTGTTTTGTGTGTGAAAAGAGTCGTGAATGTTTCACATATGAAACAATACTGTATAGACACTACATTTCACACGTAACATGTGAAAACTAGTTTGTACAAATTATTGAGTTTGTAACGAATGGGACTATATGTGTGTGTGTATATGTATGCTTTGTGTACCCTCCTTTGGCTAGCTTTTGGGAGTGAGTTCTACCCAAACTCATTTATCATTGGTATATATATTGAAGCTCATGTTTGTATTGTTGCAGGAGTGCAGCTTCCTTTCAAAGGGCATCCATGTTACCTAGTCCTGTTCCGAATTCCGAGTCACACCCCGAAAAAAAACAACTCCAGCACTATAACCCTTCGAAAGACGAGGTTCAGTGTGCACATGATCATAAATCCGACTTCCATTATCCCTTTGGAGATTGGTTCACTAATCCATGGTTAAAGCCAGTTCAAGATCATAACCTATCCGACAACAGGTGATGCCCAAAATACTTGAATGTGCAACGAAACTATTTGGTCATGTTTGGCAACCATAGCTAGCTTGTTTTTTTTGAGCTTTTTCAAGAAGCTCCCGTTTGGTTAGCCATAAGCTAGCTTTTTGAAAAGCTACTTCTAGTAGCGTCTCAATAAGCTACATGAGATTTTTTCCATTTCCAACTATGCCCCTTTATAATTCTTCAATGTTTCTAGTTTATCAACAGCTAGTTTTTTCAGCCGGCAGCTAGCTGATTTCTTTTCTTCCTTGTGAACTCTTATTCTTACAGAAAGAGAAGTAGTAGCCGAGAATGCTTGAACGAAGAACCGCACCCAAACCCATTCCTTCCAAAGATCACCATGGTTGGTGTGGCAACGGGTGAGGCTGGGCCAATGAGCAAGGCGACTCTGAAGAAAACCATGGATGATTTAACAAAAGAACTGGAAAACACGGACCAAGGGAACCCGACCAACGGTTTTAGTGAATACAAGTACGAAGATGAAAGAGACCCACTGTTTGTGGCAAATGTGGGTGATTACTATTCAGGGTTGTCAAAAGCGAGTTCCGCTAGATGGGTCCGCCGTTGATCACCCGGAAGCTAAGTCTTTTAGAGGTTGTTTCCATATACTTGCAGGAATTCTATTTTTTTTCTTGGTAGTCGACAGGTAAATGTAAATTATTATGAGGACGTCCGTGATCTTAAGATGTACTTGAGCTTATGGGGTCTGTTAAATTGTTGTTTCAACTACAAATCATCTACTCATTGGCAATTGGCATTGTGTGTTTTATCTGGTTCTTAATGTGATTCGTTGACTATTGACAGTCAAAATAAAGATAATCCTTTGATAGTGGTCAAAATGTTTGACTTTTATGCAATCTTTCCTTCTTGTACGCTTTTCAAGCTCTGATTATGGTTCCCTAATTATCTCAAATCCAACGATTACGCTATTTTAACAATTATCTATACTATATTATAAAACATTTGACAAAAACTTTTAAAAACCATTTTTTATGCATGAAGTACTGTTTATTAATGCATATTACTTAAAAATTCAAGATTACAAGTAAATTGTGCATAAGTACAACTTATTAAAGCTTTATGTTTGAATTTGTCTAACTAACTGTGGATAAACATAATCAAATAGAAGATAAACATCTCCTTTTAAAATATAAAAAATCTAAAATATAATTAGGATAATTATTGAATTATAACAGAATACTTAGTTATTATCTTTATAAAAAAGGGCAAAATGCACAAAATAGCAATCTACTTTCATAAATTTCTTTATTATAACATTGTACTTCTATTTTTTCTTATTACATCAATGTACTTTCAAGTTATTTTTTATTAGGACATTGTACTTTGAAAAATGTACTCATTATAACATTGAGTAACCTTTTGATTTAAATTTACCCGTTATACCAGGTTTTCATGCTACATCATTGTCCATGTAGGCTGTTCACATATACTATAGTGATGTGACCTTCTTACTATATCATTGTCCTTTCAAAATAATTTTATTATAGCATCTACTAATTCTTATTGAATACTGTATTTTTAATTTTAATATTTAGATATTTTACATGTTATTTAATAAATATATTAAATGAATTAAAAAAATTAAATTTTTCATTAACAAACCAATATCAATAAAACTAGCAGAACACAACTTATCTCGCTGATATTTTAAAAAAAATATGTGTTTTATGAAAAAAGAAAATAAGAATTGTTTCTTTTTTACCAAAAAATATTATATTTTAAAGAATATATTATATTTGTTCAAAAAGTTTTACTTGACGTATAAATATGTTAAATTAATTTGATTTTTACTTTAGAATATTTAATTTGCATCCAATTTAATAAGAAAAAGTCAAAAAAAATAAATGTTTTTTTAGATCATAGCAATGAAAAATGAAAATCACTAATAATAATTTGAAATAGGTTTTTATTTTTATTTTATTAAATCATCAAAATGATGTGTCATCCACATCACCTCATTAAGGCAACACAAGCAAAAAAAGTCAAGGGGTTAACCGGTTTAAAAGGTAACAGGTTAGTCATTGCTATTATGGGTAGATTTTCTAAAGTACAATGCCTTAATAAAAAATAATTTGAAAGTACGTTGCTGTAATAAAGAAAAACAAAAAGTAGAATGCTATAATAAAAAAATTTATGTTATTTCATGCATTTAACCTTATAAAAAAATATATTATTAAACCAAAAATAAATGACTTCATTATTGAATCTAAATTAATTATAATAAAAAATTGAATTTAGAAAATTACATAAAAAACAAGAACTTTTAAATATTTAATTTGATATTAAAGTCGATACATTTTTTTTTTCAAAATTTTATGATATATTCAAATTTATTTTATTTAAAAAAATAAAAACATTATCGTTTTTTCAATTTCACATAAAATCGTATTATAACCTCGATGTTGACAAAATAAAATGAAACACTAAAGTAGAGATAAATCTCGCTGCATTGCGCGAGTACCCTTCTAGTAATATTAATATATATTATTAAAATATTTTTTTTCTCTTAAACATTTATCATGCAATATAGCATAACTGTTGAAGTACCAAACTTTTCTAAATCACCAAAATTTCTATTATAGCGTAGTTGTTGGAGATGTTTGATTCTATTAGTTAATCTTTCTTTACGGATAAGCTAAATGCACCTTTATATATTAGAGTATCATATGACTCAAACTTAAACCATATTTGTTATATATATATACTAGAAGCGTACTCGCACAATGCAGCAAGATACATCGTGTTTTTAATATTTCATTTTATTCTTTATCTCAGTCGATGTTATAATATGGCTTTATGTGATTTTGAGAAAGCGATGATGTTTTTATTTTTGAATAAAAT